TTAAGCCTAACATGGAGATGAACTTGGTGCTGGAGAGTCAGAGTTTCATTGTGCTGTTGTGGGGAGGGGGAGGTCGCTTTCTTGAAGCAGGCCTCAAGGGTTGTTTGTACAGCCATTTTCTTTTTCTTATCATAAATGGCCTTATAGCAGCTGAGGGTCTGGTTACAAGTGCAAGTGCTAAAGGGGAACTAGATCAGTATTAGCATGCCCATACCACAGATGGGGAAATGATGCTGAAGTGACAGCAGAGAGAGAGAGAACCAGAACCTGTCTGAGTAGAATTTGGCAGGCTCCAAAGTGGCCAACAGGTTTGCAAATATTATTCAATTCTATAGAAAGAAAGAAAGAAAGAAAGAAAGAAAGAAAGAAAGAAAGAAAGAAAGAAAGAAAGAAAGTTAGTTCTGATTATTGTCTGTGCTTTGTTTAAATCTGGTTTTGTTTAGAACTGTGGCATTTTATTTTATTTATTGTAAATTAACAGAGCAACTCAGAAATATGCTTAGGACATTAATCAAAAAGAATAAACAACATAAAGTATTTTAGGGTGCTCAAAATCTTCATATTCATGATCTATGCAAAAGTGATAGTGAGCCAGCCTAACTCTGTAAGACACTGATTTGAAAGGCTCTTTTAAGAACTATTCTATTTGTGTTTTAAAATACTATATACCTACACACATACATACAGATTCTCTCTCTGTCTCTCTTCAGTACCTGTAGTTACTTTATTATAAGCAGACTGTATATATGGAGGTCAAACAGTCCATGGCTCATAAGATGAGGTAGGTAATTGCTCCATCTATTAAGGTACTGATTTGCAACTGGCTCCACTCCAAGCCACTACTTCGAACCATATTGATGAATATTAGGATTCTGCAAAGATCTTGAAAGCCTGAATTATCTCTATGTTCACGACGAATCATATTCCCTTGACAATCATACAACTTCATTAAACACAGCTCTTAAAATCAGGAAGGATGAAGTGGCTGGGAGAAGCACTACATTTTTTCTAGTGCCAAATCAGCTTGTGTTTTGAGTGCTTTGAACATCTGGCCTGCACACCGCAGAAGCACCATGTAGGAAATGGTATCAAGATTCTGATCAATGGCTATTAATAGCTGCACAATTATTATGCTGAAGAAAACTGGAAAGGCTGTAAAATGCAGAGCAGAAGACTTAGATGGAGACTCAGGAACAGAAATTACCATGACACATGACAACAGTTGCAGTCAAGGAACTCGTTGTGATTACTTCCAAGAGGATTCAGAGAAAGCCTGTTCCATCAAGTCTTCTTTGACTAAACAGAATCCCACAGGTTTAAGACTCATAATATAAAACTTGTTCGGCCAAAACATGGGGAGATAGAAATGCAAAAGATAATCAACTGTTATAAATGAAAGATTACTGGCCTAGATCCAGGATGAGTTCACCAAACCTAGATCCCATTGAGACTTAATAAAGACTATTAGGAACTAAGATCTCCTAAATCTGCCTCTATACAGCACGTTGTCTTTTAGTGTACATGATAGTCATAGTATGCATTCCTGTACTGGAAAAACTCAGCAATCTCATTGAGTTTTGGACATATATTTGGTACCATGCAAAATACCACTTTTTGATATGTTTTACATACATTTGTGGCTATTTATAGTAACTTTGCAATGACATGCAACTATAAAATGAGTGTTTGTCAGTAGTATGTTTATTAATGTGTATTATCCAAAACACCCCCCCTTGAACATTTCCTTCTGTATGTAGGAAGCACCATGGACATAGATTTCAGCACATACACAAACATTCATTTGGGGATGTGATCTGTTCCCTGGCTTCATCCATGATTTTAAAGATATAAAGTTAGGATTCTCATTAGAAGTAGAAGTTTATTCTGGAAAAGCAATGCATGTCATACATCCAGATATCAATGCCATTTGCCATAGTAATGTAGTTTTTCTCAAAACATGACTATAGTGGATCATTGCATCCTGTAGGCTAAGCACCACCAGGCTTTGGTCTAGCAGACATCCACTTTATTGTTTGCTAGAACCCTGAAGTTCACCAGCTAGAGAGCAGTGCAAAAAAAAAAAAAAAAAGCTTGGAGCAGAGCTGGATGAAGATCAGTGTTTTGGCATGTGGAACCATTTATGTAATACACCCTGTAATCCATATGGTGTGATGATCTGCATTTGCCAGTGCAAACTGGCATTTCAGTTGATACAGATCAGAAATTCTAACAGTAAATTCAGTCACCTCCCCAAACCCCCACAATGCTTTATGTTGTTAAACAAATGGAGGACAAATACCCTTATAAATCCATTGCAAACCATCCAGCAATCCACCAGCATGAGGAGCCCCAGTTATGAAGAATCTCAGCACAAGTGAGTTAAGCAAACAGCGAGGTATCATTTATAAGTATAATTTACTTATCTCTATCTCTCTAGCTAATAATCTCAAACTCACAGATTATTAACTGAATCCAGGACAAGGACACAGCAACAGGGCAAAATCTCAGAACGGTAAGCATTTGCAAACTTATAACTGGGAGCTAAAATTCAGAGGGGAACCTGAGCAGGAACCTATAACCTCTCCCCCTGCATCCTTGTTCAGAGAGGGCGTGCATTTTTAAACTAAATCCATATTTAAACTAAACCCAGGCTTTGAAAGGGAAAAGGGAAAAAAGCCACTGTGCCCACATAGCTAGTGGAAGTGATTGCTTATAAACATAAAGTGAAGGCTAACTTCAGTTTGGGACCAGTGGAGATTTGGGTTTTTAGGACTACAGAGAAGTTCACAAACTAAAGCACAGAAATAGAATAATCTCAAGTATGAGAGTCCAGGCTATCACTTAGTTTTAAATGATACTCAAAGGAACTGAGCCTTCCTAATTCCTTCACAAGTTACATATCCTTTGTCTGCTGTCCCCTCCAACAACCCATTCTCTACTGAGTAAGTTCTGCTAATGAGTAACACTCTCACTCCCAGAAAAGACAGCAATTAGAAAGTGTTTCCAATCATTGGAAGCTAAGGCAGATCCGGAGTTCAGTCATAGCCTCCCTCCTTTTAAATGAGGCCCTCCAATAAGATTAGCTGCAGCTGCAGTCAGAACAGCCTATCTAGAGCTATACAAAAAGATAGGCTTGTGAGAGGGGTTCCAGTGATGAAGCCCCAGTTAAGTCTGGCAACAGAAAAAGAAGGCCAGGCCTCTGTTCTTCTAGTCAAGAGCTGTACAGAAACAGCTAAAAGTAAATCTACTGCCCTTTTCCAGTGTAATAGGGAAATGAATTAAAAAACCAGCCCATCCTAAGTTTTTTTTTTCAGGTGAACAAACTCAGTAATACTAATTCAATCAGTTATGAAGGTAAAAAGCCAGTAGAGTTGTGGGTTCTATCCGGAGTATTGCACCGAGATTCACATACATGTGAATTCCATAACTTCTATATATGACATAAAACAAGCATGCTTGAGTCATTTATTTTGCCATGAGCTGGGCAAATAGTTTTGCATGGCATTGAAGCCTTTCTTTCTGAGCCCTAGAAATCCTTTCCTGTTGTGCCTCTGTACATTTCATGAGATATAGCCAAGCATTGTGTCACACTTTCATACTTCTTAAGGAACAGTAACATGCTTTAAAAAAAAAAAGGAAAATCAGAGTTTTGAGATGCTGAGTACAGTGTACATAACAATTTGTATAATGGCATGGTTACGCTACTGAAAGCAGAAAGTCAAATGTCCCACAGGCACTACTTTCTAAGTCAGGGCTGGGCAATCTGTAGCTCTCCAGATTTTGTTGGACTCCAATTCCCAGACAGTGTGGCTGGTTTACAAATAGTTATGAATTATGGAAGTTATAGCTCGATAACATCAGGAGGGCCATCTGATCTCCACTCTTCTTATAAGCAGTGGTCATGAAAAGTGTGGTTTTATTAAATATTCCCTTTAATTTTTCTCCCATTTATTTAAAATGTAAAACTTATTTAAAACCTGAAATTTTAAAAAAGAGATTCATGAAGTTAATAATCTGAAAGTCTTGCTCAGTCATTCCATTTCTCTATATGTCTTCCAGGCACTGATAGGGTTATAACATAGCCAGTATTTTATTACTTGGTGTTGCCTTTATTTGGTTTAGAAAAGTCAAGTCCTCCTAAATTCTCTCTAGTTTTCATTTCTGGCCAGTTTACATTATGATGCTGCCGAACTGAATTGTTGTTTTTCTCCAAGCACCTTCTTGAATCTTCCAGATGGTCTTCCTTATATTCTAGATTCTGCTCAGGGGACTAATTTCTTGAGAACGAGAGAGCACAACCTTAAGCACAGTTGCATGATATATCAAGAGCACGAGACTCAGGCAATTGTCCTTCATTTTCCTGGTTATTGTGTTCTGGAGTTGCTGACAGAACAGGCCTTCTCTGCTCATATTTTCTTTTTTTGTCCAACATAAACATTAAGATGAACATTCTGGAGCAAATTCTCTCCTTAACATGGCTCTTAATGAAGCACCCAGAAACCACCACCAGCTTAAATATTAAAGTTTCAGGCATTAAAAATTTATGGAGCTTCAGCCGGATAGATACCCTTGCTGGCTGAACACAAGATCTCCTGCCAGCAAAAAGGTTTTTTTTCTTGTTGATGATGTGGGGGTGGGGAGTGTAGGAAAGTTATGCAGCAGACAAAATTGATATGCTGGTGATGGGGGCCCTGCATTAAGAGACACAGTTTCTAACCAATCAAGCTAAATGAAATCCACAGGCCTGGGTCTTATCTTCCTAGATAACCCTCATTAATCCAGTGAGCTTCTGAGGACAAAAAAGAAGAAATGAATTGCTTTATTTGTGTTGCTTGAACAGAATGCTAATAAGGGGAGGTGGTGGAAAAAAGTTAATTATTCATGCCAGCCGACTGAGAAGGCGGCAGATCCTGGCTTTCCCTGTTACCATTGCAACAAGTGGTGTCGGCCTAGTGCAGAAAGCAACGTAAACATTTTACACCTAAAAGCGGACAAGAAAGATGCCTTCTCAGGAAAGGAAATGTATGCTTTTGAGCTGCGCATCACACAGCCAAATGGATTTAAGAAGAGCAACACCCTTTGTAGCTTGGAACCCGAATAGATTTATATCTCAGATTTGCTTTATGATTAACCATTCCTCCTGGGGGAGACCGTGTTGCCTCGGTAAGTTGGGTACAAGTTTTCAGGCTTTCCGCTTCAATAGTTGAACAACAATTGTTTGCGCTCTCTCTCTCTCTCTCTCTCTCTCTCTCTCTCTGTATGTTTCCTTCTGTTCCCATATATGTGGTAAAGTTTTGAAAACAAAGTGGGTGACAGGCCATTTTTTGCATTTAAAGCAAAGAGAAATCCAATACATGTCCCTCGGGAAAAAGCCACATTGCATTCGATGAAATTTATTCCTACGTAGCTATTATAGAATTGCACCCTAAATAACACAAAGGATTAAGCAATACCTTTAAATTAAGCTTGAATTATAGTGTAAAAACATATACCTAAATTATGTTTTCTCCTTGTTAGTCAAAGGTTCACAAAAGCTTAAAAGGAACATTTTCATTTTACAAATGTGTTTCTGTGTCTTAATTTTTGCATTCAGCCTTGTAATTTGATGTTTTAAAATCCTGCACTGGTCCATCTTTGATAGGAAAAGTAGAATGCAAATTCTTCTAGCGAACTAAAAGCAACAGAAATTAAGGAAACTGTTATTCATAAAAAATGTAGCAGATTCTTGTAGGTTAGAGAGAACAAAATTAATCCAGATATTCAAATTAATTTAGCTATATATTTTCTAAGGGAATGTTGTTTTGCATATGATGTGTGCACGCAATATATGCAAGTGTGCAGGTTCCTATTTAATGTACATTTAGTGCCAGGTGGTTCTATCAAACATTTCACTGTACTTGTAGGAGCTTTTTATGCACAGAATAATTGTTGCTTTCCAGAAGAATGGTGTAGGGCACATGTTCTGCTATACATCATTTGAAAGCAACATTGTTAATGAATCTTGTTTTTCCAATGGCAAAAAAGACAGATGCTGTGTCTGTGAGACACAAAACAGTGGGGGAGCAGTGTTAGGCATCTATCTCCATTAGTCGGAACATTAAAAAACAAACAAAAAACCCTTAAAGTTTTGATTTGTTAGTCAACACTAGTGAAATTGTTAACATTTTCCCATATGCCTTGCTACAGCAAAGACAAGCATCACGAAATGTAAATAATGGCATTGCATTAATTCAGTACAACTCACATGCCAACTTATAAAATAGATTTTACCCCATTAAAAGAAAAAGACTAAAATAAATAACTTCTTAGACAAGAAGATAAATAGAAACAGGATTAATTTCCTTTTGTGAAAACAGTGTTAGCATACACAACACTTAAAATGTACTCATTTTTCTCTCAAACTTTATGATCTATGACAGCCTTCATTCTGTAAGACATTTAAAAAAAAGCCAACAACCCTTGTATAGCTCTGTCTTGCCACAAACTGAAAATACCTGGCAATTTGCTGTAATCTCCTGGCTAACTACAGTGTATTAAGGCAACATGAAGCAATAGGCATGATTACAGAAAGCACTTTTATAGCACGGGTGCAGTCTTTCTTCTTGTGACTAATGTTGGACTGTTGGTGATTCAGGTTGAGCTGGAGGGAAAGCTGGCACCCAGTTGCTATGCAGTGTTGTTGAAACACATGTGAGTGCTATAATCTTAATATTTGAATGGATTTAGTTATTTGGCTAAGTGCCTCTTTTACTTTGTACTTTGTATTGTCTGTAAAGTAGAAAATGGAGCCTGCAATACAGAAACTTTGTCAGCAGCAGCTACAAAAAACATGGAGCATACTGGTGAGCTGACCATAAGCAATATAACTTGGCAGCAAAGAAAGGTATTTTTCATCAATCAGAATGCACATGTCTAATTGCAGAAGTGGGCGACTTGGGCCCTCCACATGTTTGCTCTCTAGAACTTCCAGTAGCCCTAGCCATAACTAATGGTGATGGAAAATGGGAGGTGTAGGCCAAATTATCTTGAGGGCCAAGAATCACTTATAATTCCCATTATCCATAACCATTGACTTTGCTGGCTAGGGCTGCTGGGATTTGCAGCCTTCTAATTGTTTCCTCCTACAAGTTTTAGAATGATTCAGCTAAACTTGAACAAACTGAGAAGATATAGCCAGATGCTTTTGCTATTGCCTTAGGCTATAGTCCTAAACAGAATGGATAGAGAGCAAATTCACTGAAATAGAAGTGGTTGACTTCTGAGTAACACATTTAGGAGTGTGTCATTAGGATGCAACCCTTCTCGCCTTATCAAACGTTATTCAGCCAATATAGATGTAGGCTAGGGAAATGCAAGGAACCTATTTTGTGTGAAAACACTGCCAGATTTCCTGGTTTGGGCTTTGTAGGTACACTGGTCCACTTTGCAGCAGCCCAGAGCCCGAGTTCCTAATGCGCATGCCCAGGGATTGCAGGGTACTCACCAGGAACTGAGTCTCATGTGCTGCATAAGGGGTGTCATTCTTTCGCACTTGCTACTGCTGACTGCTTGTTGCTGCAGCAGAGAGCAGGAAAGCAGGTTGGCTACTGGAAATGGCAGCTGACATGCCCTCTCACTGTGCCCCTTTGCTGTGGATTCCAAAAGAGTTTGTCCCAACCCTAATATAGACACATACTCTACTAACTATGTCTTCTTACAAGTTTCAACAAAACCATAACAAGAAAAAAGAAAGATACCATAAAGTAGATTAGAATATATTTATTACATATAATCTTCAACAAAGTCAGACCAAGCATGCATGTATGCAGCTTTTCAAGAATGGTGCCTATATACTGCTTGTTCAAATGTTGAAAGTATTGTTAGATCCATTATAAGTGATAAGCATTTATCATACCACTACTTCAGTAATAGTCTTCTGGCTGTCACAAGAGTATGGAAAGTCCATTTGTGTTGGCTATGTATTAACTTCTAGAAAGCTGATAGCTAATTTAAAAGAATGTATGCATCAGTAAATATTAGACTGTTCCAATACAAAGTTTATCCCTATTATAACTTCCTTTGAAATTTCACTGTAATTACTTTTTCTTACCAATTTTTAAGTCTGGATAAAATCAAATTAGCATGCAGAAATAAATAAAAATCTAACTGATGTGATGTTATCCACAACATGTCCCTAACAGTCATAACTGTGGGATGATCTCTATTTTAATGTGCAAAAACCTAATGCCATCCATGCAAGAAGGTTTCAGAACTGATCCAGGTGGACGATCTAATCTAAGTAAGAAAGATCTAGTGCAAGTCAACAGTCAGGCCCAATGATATGAAACAAGTTCTGGAAAGCCAAACCCATCTTCCCTAATGAAAAACTGAATCTTTTTCAAGGGTATTCATGGTGGGGAGGACCTCTCTTTTCCAAATGTACAAAACACATGATAAAAAAATCGAAAATATTTGCCATAAATAGAAGAATGCCATGCGTAATATAAATGATCTATGGCATAATATTTATCTTATATACATTAAGCTTACCATTCCAACTCACCTTTAGTGATGTTCATCAGTTTATTCAAGTTTTGTGGAATCATTTGAGATATGCCTTTGGGGTAAACATTTCCAAATAAGTAAAGAAATCTGGGCTTCATCAAAGTTGCCAATTAACTAATATATCAAGTATGAATCAATAGTATGAAAGGTAGATTAGATCGGTGGAATTGTAAAATGACTATTCACTGCTTGAACTGGTGTGGTAGAGTCAAAGTCTGCAAGGATGCAATGCTTGCATCTTTTTTTTTTTAAATTAAAAGGGGTGTCAACATCATCTGCCCTTTCCCCTGGATTTCTTGATCGCTGCAATCTTAGGTGCAACTCTCAGAGTAATTGGAGAAAAATGAATTTCCCAAAACCAATATATTGTTTGTTCTCTGCTGTAATACAAAATACTTTGGGGTGGTTTCATCTGGAATGGGCAATTAAGATGTATTAGATTTACAGAAGATCTGCTCCTAGTGCAGAAGAAAATTACTGGAACTGATTTGTTGATATGGGTTAAAGCAGCTGCCTGAATTTTGAGGCCCTTCTTGGGGGTATGGCCATGAAGATGTCATGATGAGCACCTGCATTTCAAAATGTGCCAGCGCAGCATCGTATGCATCCCTTTGCAAAGCAATAGTTGCATGCATAATTGTTCTTATGTGACATGTGAATAACTTTTTGAACACCTCTGTTCCACATTTCTTGAAAAAGTAACCACGGCAGCTCTGAAAATCATGAGGTTTTTCTTGCCATTTGTCAATACCTAGGATGGTTGTGTGGTTACCATTTGCATCATGACATCATAATACATATGTGGGCTTTCAGCAACACATTCATGTCTGAAGAAATTTGTTTCTCAACCTTGGCAAACTGTAAACCTGCTGCGACTATATGGCCATCAGTGGCGATGGCACAGCTGTAGGTTCATTCCATTTTAATTGCTTTGTGGATATTGAATTCTTTCCTGTCTTTGTTTAATGTTATCCTTCTGGCACTGGGCAGAGGTCAACCATCCACGCTGATTTTATTAGATATTTTAGTAGCCTTTCATAGGGCTGATCATGAGGCTTTATTGAAATGCCTGTAGATCCTTGGAAAAGATAATGAGGTTGCTCTTGATTTGTTTCTGGCAGGTGAGACAAGTTCTTCCCATCATCATAAAGGCAGCTTACCTTGAGGCATTGCTAAATATGGGTTTAAAGTGGTGGATATGCTTGTCAAATATTTGTTTTTATCAGTAAGTAGATGATCTGCCTCTGCATACTGTTGAAAGCATTTTTTTTAACAAATGTCATTTTATGTGTAAGCATTGATGTTCATATTCCATGACCCCCCATAACATCTATTGGCAATTTAAAATGTTATTTTCATACAGTATTTTTTAAATTAATGCTGATTTTTATCATCATTTTAAATATGTAACGGACCAGGAGACTTCCTAATCATTATATGAGAATAAACAGAAAATAAAACAATATTTTAACAGTTTGTGGAAACTTTCACCAACACAATCCACAATTCATTGTTTGTGTTTATCTTTTAGAATGTATTTTGCTCAAGATGATTTAGGTGTTACAATATCCTAACCCTGGCCAGTTTAGGATCCTTCTTAAATAGCAGCGTGACTTCAG